AATTTATTTGGTGCATTTTAAATTTATTTAAAGGTTCATTTATCTATTTCTTCTTTTATTTCTAATTATGTCAGTGTCGGTCCTCCATACTGCAGAGCATGAAGAGGTAGTTCAGTGACTGAATCAGGCTGCGGCCCTCCAGGACCAGGACTGCCCACCCCTGCTCTAAGTTTTAAATGTGTTCCAGGTTCTTCCTGTCATGTTGCGTAAGCTTGGCCCGACGACCTGCCGTGAGCTCTGTTTACCATGGAACGCCGTCCGGGACGCTCTGGACCACATGGCCCAGGCGGCGGCTGAGTACGTCGACAAAGAGCACTTCCTGGTTTGGTGGGAGTCCCTTCAGGTAGGCRTCGGCCCAGAATACTCTGACCTCGGGTCTGTGCGCGTGGACTGACCCGTCTTGTGGTGCAGGTTGTCGTGGAGGAGGTCCTGGCCGTCGTGGAGAGGAAGGGAGAAGATGGAAAGGAGGCGATGGAGCAGCTGGAGAGGCTGCTGTTCATCTTCCACACCCTGGCGTCCCACAGGGGCGGAGCTAAAGTCACTAAACCGGAGCTGGTCTGCCAGGTTAGAGAGGTTTGACTCCTCCCACAAAGCTCACCTGCTGAAGCTCAGCTGTCTGTGTTTGTCAACCTTCAGGTGGCTCTGCGGCTGATTGACAGCTCGTCTTTGTCCTCCTCCTGCTCCCGCCTCCTCCTCCAGATCACCTCCTCGCTGCTCCTCGGGGAGAACATCAGCCTCCCCGAGGAGCTCGTTCAGAAAACCATCCAAAAGGTATTTCACGTGCGACAAAGGACTCCGCCCCCTCTGTTCCCACGCCGTCTAAAATCCGACTCTCCTCCTGTTTCAGGTGTTTAACAGCAAGCTGGAGGCGGAGCTTATTCTGGAGTTCACCAAGGAGATGTTCACCATGAACCGGTTTGAGCAGGTCAGTTCAGACCCGCCGATGGGGCCGCCTCAGTTTCTGGGTCTCTCTAACTAACCTCCTGTCCTGCAGATCTTCCTCCCCAGCCTGCTGCGCTTCACCGCCGGGTTGTTGGAGCGCTGTGGCGACGCCCCGCATCGCCACTGCGCTCTGGACGCGCTCGTCAGTCTGATCCTCGCCAAAGCCCCGCCCCCTACCGTCGGCTCCATGGCCTTCGAAACGTACCCACTTCTCTACACGGGGCAGACTGCAGGGTGAGTTCTCTCTGGGCTGTAAACTTTCAGCTTTTCTAATTTTTCTCACATAAAAACATTCGGCTCGTTCAGAACATTAACATGTTTAGTTTTAGAAACTTTTTCTTTTTTAATTACTTAACTGCCTTTACATTTTTCTAAATTCTTCAAATCTTTAAACTTTGTGCTCGTTGATATCTATTTTTAGAGATTTCAGTTTTACGTTTTAGCTGCTAATTTGCTTTGTCTAGCTTTTAGCTTCTGTTCTACAGTTTTATTTTTTTACTATAAGTTTATTTGTTTTAGCTTTWAGCTACTGTTTTGTCTATCAAMRCATGTAGTTATTGTGTTTGTTTTACATTTTTATCTAATGATTCTGTAATTTTAGCTAATTTTTTTAGCTTTTAGCTGAAGTMATGCTGAYTTTAGATGTTAGCTAATGTTTTAATAGTCTTAGTGCTTCAGTTTAGTTTTTAGTTGTTGCTTTGTTCAACTTATTTAGATAATGGTGGTTTTAGGTTTTAGCTTCTGTTCTGCTAACTTTAKTTTTTTACTGTAAGTTTGCTTTTTTTAGCCTTTAGCTATTGTTTTGTCAGTCATAGCATGTAGCTATTGTTTTGTTCATTTACATTTTTGTCTAATGTTTCAGTAATTTTAGCTAGTAATCTTAATTTTTAACTCTTATGTTGCTAATTTTAGCTTTAAGCCAACATTTTAACTGTTATTTATTTTGTTTTTTAGCTTGTTTTGCCAATTATAGTTTATTTAAATAGATGTTTTGTTAGTTTTTAGCTTTTAGCTGAAGTAATGCTGATTTTAGATGGTAGCTACTGTTAGTGCTTAGCTGCTTTAGTTAAGTTTAGTTTTTAGTGTTTGTTTTGTTCTTTTAGCTAATGATGATTTTAGGTTTTAGCTTATCTTCTGCTAATGTTTTGCTGGTTTTAGCTTTTGGCTACGGTTTTGTTGATTTGTAGTTTTTAACTTCTGTCTTAGAAATTATTTCTAAAAGCTTGTGTTTTTGCTGTTGTAGCTTTTAGCTAATTTATTCCTGGTTCCAGATTTTAGCTTCTGTTTTACTGGTCTTRGCGTTTAGCTACTGTTCTGCAAAATATAGTTTTTCTTGCTGTTTTGTTTTTTAGCTTTAGATTTTGGATTTTAGCTTTTCTTCTGCTAATTTTAATTGTTCATTGATGTTTTGCTGGTTTTAATTTCTATCCACTGTATGCTACTGCTAATTTTTGGTTGCTGTTTGTTGTTGGTTTTAAAAAATCTGAAGTTTCTTTAGCTGCTTTTAGAKTTTAGCGTCTGCTCTGCTACTTATTTTTGCTAGTTTTAGCTTCTAGCTCCTGTTTAGCTATTATTCCCGTAAAATATTTTGTTTTGTGGTAAAATAATTTTTTGTTTTCTCAGCAGCAACAAGACGAGCGGGTCGGTACCAGAGCTGGTTCTGTCTCTGATCAGACTTCCAGAGGAGTCGGCCATCACTGACCTGTCGCTGCCTTGGACCGCGCTGGTTCTGCTGCCGCACCTCCGGTACCACACACACACACACACACACACACAGGATAAGCAGCTGAATGTGTGCTCAGCTTTAGTTCTTCCTGTTCCCTCTTGCTCAGACCTCTGTCTGCATCTGATGTCGTTCCCGTGGTGACGTCTTTCCTCACTCGTCTGCTGCAGGACATCGATGAGGACAGAATGGGACGAGGTTTGTCACTTTCTACCTCGTGTTCCTGCAGAAACTCTCCTGCATTTCTCCAACAGGACTGATGTTGTTTTTCTGACCCCCTGCAGCTGCTCTGTTCGTGGCCCGACAGGCTCTGAGCTGCCTCCTGTCTCTGGACGGCTCCRTCCTGGTCCCCGTGGACCGGATCAACTCTGTCCTGCGGTAAGATTTGAACGTTTGGCTCTATTCAGGATGTGTTCATCTGTTTGACGTGTGACACCGGGTGTTTTCAGGAAGTTTCCCACGGACCTGTCGGCCCTGCTGCTCGGAGACTTGTTCTACACCCGCCTGGCCCTCAGCGGCGCCTCGGACCACCTGTCCCACGACGCGGTGCTGGAGCTCTTCAGCATGCTGCACGCTAACTTGTCCTCAAACATCTCAAAGGTTTGCTTCCTCTGAAATAAAACCTGGACTTCWTCCTGAGAGGCCACGTTTTGATCTTTGCTTCTTCTCTCTCAGGTCCGCCTGCTGACTCTCAGGATCTTCTCTCAGTTTCACGTCCAGCTTCCACCACAGCCTGAGGTGAGACTGCTGCTCCTCCAGATCAAACTCCCTGATTTGTAAAACACAGTTTGAATCAGGGCTGTTCAAAGCATGGCTCTTTGTGGCCCTCTGTGGCTCCCTGGCTAAGGTTTGATGCAGATGGACATATTTTTGTACAAATAAAGGAGTTTCCAAACAGAAAATTAGATGAAAAGTTAGTTTTTAAATGAAGACTATTTAATAAAATATAAGTTTTACCTTTTAATTGACCACATTTGTTGTTTTGCTACAGTTTTATAATAAACCGAACAAATCGTTACTCAGATTGTAGACTTTTACATAACCTTTCATAAAATTTGTCTCAGTAAAGACAATAATTCCTGTGGATTTAACAGTGTRAACGTTGTTTAAATAAAATTTTGATAAAATTTGATGTTATCACATCAAACTTTGTGTGAATGCTTCAGAGCATATAGCTATATCAACAATTCATATATCAAAACCTTCAGCTCATTTAGGACAATCCTGCAATGACTTTTGGTGTTTCAGCTATTTTTACTTTTTCAGCTATTTCACTTTTTCCACTTGCTGCAAATTTAGCTATTGTTCAGCTGTTATTAGCTAGCTTTTTAAGCTAAATACACATTTTTAAAGCTAGTACAACTTATTTCTGCTAAGTTCAGTAAACTTGTGCTCCTTATGCTTCC